GTGCGAAACAACACACAGAGCTACTTCCAGCTGGAAGCAGCTGTGGCACTCTAGAGCGTACCACAAGCTATCAGTTGATACGAATGTGGTGCGAAATTGTCAAATTGAGAGCGCATGTAGCAGATTTTCGCCGCGTATCTACCTACAGGAAGGTGTGTTATTGAATCGACGGACAACTTTTGGGGAAATCGATTGATTGAAAAAGTTGACGGGATAGAGGAGCCCAATGAAAATGGGATAAGAAGGACAGATAACATAACGAAGTAAAAGGTGTAGTTTTCAGAAGAGTTGCTTAAAAAAACGTAGCCGTATTGTTAGAAGATCATAGTAAAAGAAACAAAAAAGAAGTGCGGTGGCGCTGAACTCCTTGCCTCAATGTACAACATCAAGTGACTAAACAAGGCTTATATTCTCTGTTTTCAGATTTATTCAGTGTTATTTAGAGCGCATAGAGAGCATCGAATATATTAGAATTAAGAACTGAAGATATCAGAGGTCAAATTGCATAATTGTGTTATTTTTCTTATTCCTACCACTGGCATCGGACCATATGTTCTTTATCATTTCGGAACAAGAGATCTTAACAAGCTACAACCGGTAGTAGGATAAGATCGATACTTTCGTTAGCGTTCAAAGCATTCCATATTGCTAGTATAGAGTCACAAAGGTAACAAAAACTGCTATTGAATAACATTACCAGTAACGTCAGTCCTCTATCTTTTAATATTTTATAAACAAATTTTCTCAAAGGATATCAATTGGCAAACGTGGCACCATGTTTAAGTCGAATGTGCTCTAGATTGTCAAATATAATACTAACTTCATACAGCCTATCAAATTGAGCATTTTGATGCGATAATTACAAGCACGATATTTTCGAAATCTTATTAATCGTTTGACCAATAGAACTTACAACACTAGTTTTCATTTTTACATTGTTTAGCTATGTAATAAAGGAACACTTAAAATCAAGTTGGCAATATTTTCACATCTGAACACTTTCAGTTTAGGCTTTTTCATATCTGCCCCTTTTAATGCTGCAAAATTATAAAGAAAATTATAAAGAAGAAAAATTATAAAGAATTATAAAGCGCAAATGGAACACCTTATCCACAGAGAGAATACGCAACGTTAGCGGGAGCTAGAAACTTCTAACCGAGCTGAGTTAACGACCTGAAAGAATACATTTATTACGAATAATTTAGGGTTCTCCTAAAAAAAGCACACAATAAGGCCAACAAAACCTGTGCTCCGGTTTTTCTAGGGGCCTTCATTTCACTGAACTTCTAAAAAACATCTTTTAATTCTAAAAAAACATTGCAGTTTTATCTGCTGATATTAGGGAAAAAATATATTCCTTTAATTAAGCACACAGTTAATATGTGTCGTTTTATTACACTACAATAGGAGAAAATTAGTGATATTTTGCGTCGTGGCTAGTTTAATCGATTTTTTTTAGTTTTACATTCAATACTGTCGTTAAGCCTCACCTCGCGTGTTAATGTTTGGCCTATTGAAAGTCTCTCACAAGAAGCTCTGTCGTAGTTATGAAAAGCAGATCACGTATCCTAAGGATTTCCTCACCTATGATTATTTTGCGTTTAAAATGTAAAAGTAATCGATCGATAGTCACGCAAAGGAGTGTAATTAAAACAACTTTTACAACTAAGTGCAGACATATCATAGAGACGAAATATGCTCATAGGTCGATATCGATACCCAAAGTCCTCAAAGTTTAATGACATAGTCAGGAGCTCAGCGGTTCAAATACCAAACGTAACACTCGAAACATTTAATCTAACCAAAAATTCATGCATTAGTATAAGGTACAAAATTGAGTCGACTCACACAACTAAATGGGTCAACGTTTATACTCCATCAAATAAAGAAACACCCTTTCAGCAAAATAATACCGTGGCTGAGGCTACCGTGGCTCTGGACTCGATTCAAAATAAGTTCCACATGCCAAAACGGGCACGGTAACTGAGAGAGCAAGCATTGCAATTCTCGTGGCGTGCTAATTGGTTCGTTCGCTAATTATAGTTGAGGTAGCCCAATGTTTCCTCAGTATAAACGCATCGGTTGAGAAAATGTAAACAAGACAGTTGAGATATTTGCAAAGTACCAAGTCGACTTTCCCGTCCGCTTTTAGCCGTATTTAACTCATGTTGTCTTATACCCTTCGACTTGTTGCTCGCTCGCACACACCAGATTATATTATACTACCTTTTTTTTTCTAAAAGAGTTAGTCGTTCTCTTTAGTTTGTTATTTCAATGAAGTTATTTTGCAATCCATTTTTGCTGGTGCAAAGACGATCCTGATCGTACTAACAGTGGGAGCACGACCAACCTTAGCGGTATGTCCCAACAAATGAAATCTTTGTTTTATCATCTCTCGGAGTAGACGCTGTGGGTTCTTGATTGAAGCTTACCAGACTTGTACATTATTCAACAGCTATAGTTACCGAGACATAACAACATTTCCTCATGATTCTCAATATAGTACATGTGTAGCACGAATCATATCAATTTAAGGCCATTTTTGTGTATATGAACATAAGAGTCATTTTTCGCAAGCACGTTCTTTTTATTGTTGAATTCCATTGGAAGCTAAAACCTACGGACAAACTACTGTGAATTTAGTTAGAGATAGCGTCAAGACTGTCGGCAGATATGACTGTAATAGAGATTGCAGCAGAGTTGTGAAAAAACAGGTTTTAAAAATGAAAAGCCTACTAAAAAACTCATTTATTGTCGATTAAGTTCTCCACTAAAAGGACTCATAAACATAAGAGCACATTCTAATAGTGCTGACGGCCAAAATCGATCTGAATTTCAATGGTAAAAATCTAGTTAATGAAAAGTAGAAATTACAGAATTCTGCTTTCAGCTGACTCAGTTAGGCTGCCCGAATGAGTCACTTTTTTCCCCACTTATGTCACGATGGTTTGCCAACCTCAAGGCTTATTTTAGGCTGCCGGATTCTAGGAAATTTAATATATACGTGTCAGGAAACATGGAAGTCCTTCATTGTATCATGCAACAAAATACTTTTTTTCTACCTATTTTAAACTCCCATAATTATTTTAATGTTTTTATTTATCTATGTATGTTATCTATTTAGATTATTCATGTAGCCCTAATACAGATATCTACCACTTCAGGTAAAATAATTTTTTTATAAATCCATTCAAGAAAAACTCGACCTTATCCAAATATGAGCTGTATTCACTATCTTGCTGAACGACATAATCCTATTAACCTTAGAGATTCTAGCTGTCGTTAAACCGGAATGCGAATTTCTTATGCGGATAACCTATCCTAGACTTGACAGATCGCTGCGCCCTTTTCGTCGACCGGTCGTCACAAAAGTCGATCACTTAACAGCGCTTTTTCTTTCTTGCGTCCTCATAAACCCTTCGGTGCTATTGCAACGCGAGCAGGTTTAAGCGGTATAATCATATGGGCATATATTACATTTACATATATCAGTCGCCCGAGCGCAATGTTTTCAAGAGAACAGTGCCTCTCGAAGCGCACTCTCAAGACGACGCATACAGAAAGAAAAATGTAAGCTCTTTCTATGCAAAACAATTAGCGGTTAGTTAACGACACATTGCCGCATTAGACCCCATCGTCTATTGGTAGGTACTAATACTGCTAAAATACAATAGTCACTTGAAGTTGTTATCAATTCTATCCAATCTATAACATAATCTTTAATGAATTGTTTAAAGGAGACTAAAAACACTAAGCTAGGACCTGTCATGAGTATCACATTGAGTGAATGCTGTTCGATCTATTGTAAAAATATTTTATAAAAAGCAAACTCGCGGCCAATTCTGTTGTTCGAGATCTCAGAATTCTCTTGTAATATTAATTATAAGACGAGACTAGCAACACAAGAGCCATTGTGCTGCTATACTAATGTCAAAGGGTCTCTGTTCCCTCGCGATAGATTGTTTTATATTGTAATTAATATTGTAACTTATTGGTAATAAATAAGACTTTTGCCATATAAAAATTCATCATTTTTATATGAAATGACTTACTACGAATGATGAAGTGCTATATAGCGTTCGCAGAGTCAACATTAAGGTTGGAATGTCACCAACTGATTTGCCAGTGATTAACGCGACTAGCTGTTGAACTCGCAAAAAAGCTTAATTAGGGCTCTGCTTACTTCTTCAAAAGTTGAACGCATAAGTAGCATTCCCGGCTATTACTATTGGCTTAGTTGAAGGGAAGAGCAGCTTTAAGATACGCTATTTCAACTGAGTGTTATTTATTCTTCGAAAAAGATTAACTACAACAAGTACGAAGGCCTTCTGGATTTTATTTCACTGATGCTGAGCCCGAAAAGACTTTTCGACGCTTTCTTTGTGGAAGTGCCAAACGGTTTCCGTAATGCTGTTAATTAAAGATTCGGATGTGCCACCAATCGCTTGGTGCTTTTAAGAAGGAATTACCTTAAATGACTAACATCTCCTGTACGCATCTATACGACGGGACTACCGCTAAGGTTGCTCAAAAAGCGAATAAAGCAAACTCGGTTGTAAATAGAATGCCATCATCATCGAGTTGAACCTAAAAAGGCGTTGAGTATGGCTGTGTGAAACATGTACGCAGCCTGAAGCAAGCAACAAGGAATCAATGATCAGCAGCTCGTCGACAGTAAATGTTTTCTTTTAACAGTCAAAACAGATTCGTACGCTGCTTATTGGTGCGCTAGGGAACATGTTAAATACATTACTCCTAGTCCACTTTTAGTCTAAATTGCATCTAGGAGTGAGCAGAAACATGTGTTAGCTGCGCAAAAAAGTAAACACCTAGTTCACCTTTCCCCAGAACAAAATGTGACACATTTAATACATTTTAGACATAATTTACACTATGAAATGAGATCCAATTATATATTATTAAGCTTAAGTCAATAGGGCGGTGGATAAATGGTTTATCCATCGTTTGAATATTACAGTAGTAAAAAATATAGGTATTCAACGTTTTTTGCACATACATCTTTATTATCTGTTTATTATTTATTTTCTAGATGAAGTTTTTTCAAACGTAAGTAAGCCACTGGTGAAAAAGCATCGTCTGAGTGTATCACAGTTTCTAGGCTGTCGAGAATAATTCTCTTTTTGAACAGTGGACAATCGAGTGTGAAACTCTCAAATTCGCCTCCTTCGCCACATACGTTTAGGTCGTACTTTTCCTTGAGCTTCAGCATTTCAGGAAGGATCTCGTTGAGAGTTAGGCCCAGATGACGTGGCAGAAGACCCATAGCAGCTGTCTTAATAATAATTGCATGCAGACCTGAATCTACCATATCCTGAAGAAGGGCAGTTTGTTCACGGTGCCACAGATATGCCAACATTTTTAGACCTAGGCGTGCGCATACATTTTCACATCGGATGCGCTGGTAGTCTGAAAAGATCGCTCCAACGGATATCGCGTCAAACTTGACTTGTTCGCGAACTTTACTCAGCAATCGAAACAAGTCTTCTACTTCATCATTTTCAGACGGGGTATACTCCATTCGAGTATCTCGTGGGATACCAGTAATCGTCTCCTGGAACAGCGGCAGATTCATTGCTTCGGCATACACATGAAGAGCACTTGTCCCGACGGTCTGGTACATGTAACTGAAATATAAAATATGACCTGTCAATTAAGCAATACAAGAACAAGTACAGCGTTAAAACTAACAAATGAAATGAATAATTTAAAATGGAAGATTTTCCGAATGGCATAATCGAATAATTTCTTCACGACTCCAAGTAAACAAAAAATACTGTTTTTTCTTTTACTATTTAATTATGTTCTGATTTAATATAGTATAATCACGCATATACTTTGCGAAAAAGCTAAAGTGATACATTTTAATATGTGCAAATATTAAGCTAGGCTACATACTTTATCGTTTTCGTCTATGAATTGAACTTCAGCTTTATTATCTACACACCGAGTATATCAAACTCACCTGTCAAGCTCTTCCTTTCCTTCACCTCCTGTTAGGTTTGCCAGGGCCACGATCTCATGTCCGTTCTTCACGCATTGCATCATATTGAAACAGCTGTCCTTCCCACCGGACACCAGGGCCACAACCCTCATTGTTATCCTGACACTTTTCTTAGTTTTAAGACAAACTTGGAGCCTGCTTTTCCATATCAGCTGTTCATCGTGACTAGTAAAATTGATCAAAGTTTATTGCGGCTCACTATATTGTCAAGAAATTAAGTAGCTGGTGTTCTCTCCAACTTGAACGAAGCACGGAGTAGTAATGGCACATAAACGTTTTAAACCTAAGACAGTGGTAGAATTGGAAGGTGTTCAAAAGTCACAAAGTTCTATCAAATAAAACTAATAACAGTATACAAATTTGTAACATTTTTTAACTTACAGTAAAACAAGTTATTTATCACAATTCCTGAATGAACACTTTTAGCTATCAATTAATATGACATCGTCATATTACGCTATTGATATTAGAGGAACTTTCCGCGTGGACGTCGTTCATGCCGTATTAGACAGTAAAAGTGGCCGCCGGTTTCGTGGAGATTCGACCAACCAACACAGCTTACTTTGTTTGAGTCATAAATAGAATCCGACAAGTAGTATAATTCGGCGGAAGTTGCCGAGCTGCTCCAAGAGGACAATATTGCGCAAGAAGGGTTTGTTGTCGTATACTTTTGGGTGCGCCGGTCGGTTTCAGTGATTTAGCAAATTTATGTGCTGTGTTATTAATAATCAAATCTTTGAAAATTGTATTTCCTTTAGGCCTCGAATTACCTTCGGGTGCGGTGAATATGACGGAAAAAGAATTGTATATATAGGAAGGCCATTCATCTAAAACGTATGTACGTTTTAGTAAGTAAAAAGGTGTTTTAGTACAGTAACTTCTTTTTATTTATTCGTTTATGATTGCTATTTATATCAATAAAAGCAAATTTAATACAGAATCTCACCATGCAAAAAAACGATTGATAAGAATTAGTAAGTTTATAATTAATAAAACATGTAGTTAATGTGACTCTCACAAGGCATGTGCGAAATTTTATATTATGGGATGGAACACCGATGTAATTGTTGTAAGTTATATTTGATTAGGAGTGATATAAGGGGGATTAGGAATTAACGCGAGCGTTTTTCTGGCCAATAATTATATCTAGCATACAGAACATTATATACACCCGTTTTATAAGCATATTTTTGGAGATACGGCAACATTCGTCTCTGCAACTAACTATATGAAACTTCCTCACAGTGTTTCATTTCAAGGCCTGCAGTGAATCCTTAATTATCATCATAACAATGACACAGAAATTGTATGGGTTTGGCAATCCGATATCCCTTTTACAAAACAACTAAAGAATAAAATACACTAAATACCTCTCCATAACACCACTTGATCTTTTCTGTTTTGTAGGCGAACACTCGCAGCAGACCTTTTGTTAGCTTTTTTTTCGGTTTGGCTGTAATAGCATATCAATGTTAGCCCCAGTGGAAAGCCCGTGTGGAACAGGCGGCGTGTCGCTCACAGGCACAGGCGCGGAGGAATACCTGATCTCACGGTCAAGCTGCTCAGACCCGTATGAATCAGATGCATGGCTACTCACGGCGAAAACACTCTTTCCGGGTAGTTTTTCGGTGCAATTTGCTATCTACGCGATGTATAAGGAAAGCCAACGCTACGCTGAAGCCGCCACTCAACTCACTGATCTACTTGTCGCGTTTGGAAGAGAACCAGCTCTTTGGCCAGAGATGCGATTAATTGCGGCCGGTGCTACTGCAGGTGAACAGACAACTTTATCAGATCTATTTACAACTAGGATTCGAATCCATAACTACTCAGTAAAAGGAAATCATTGCCACTCGATGATAAAGTAAGACAATATGTGCATGTTATACATTAACAACTGTGAGCCTCTCAAAGTTTTATATAAAAGTAGATGAAAACTATAATAGAGTTAAATCTAGAATTAAAATTTTAGTTGTTGGATTAGCTAACTTCTGCAGCTGCAAGTATCATCGACTAATTCATCTGCATCCTTCATAATTCATTTATCTGCATGGCTGTTTGTGTAAAAAATTTAAATCTTTTAGCTTAGAGTCACGTCAAGTTCTAATGCCATAGTTCATTGGTCGCCGTTACAGGTGTTCCGCTGCAGGAAGCGTTAAACAACGACTCCGCCAGTTCTGCTCAATTTTCTGTTGCCAACTGCTCGTCTACGACCAGCGCTGCTTCGGCGATCTTCGCCCAGCTCACGTCCCAGTCACAATACGCTCTCTTACTAGCAGTTTGTGGACGTGCCACAGATGTAGCCGACCGTTGCAAGTGCACGCTGCTCCTATTGCGTCGATTCCCAGACAGCATCACGGAACATGGTGCACCACTAATTGAAGAGCTCTTGGCCACTCAACACGGCGGGCAACAATCACTGATTGCGACACAACTAAGGCGACTTCTGGTGTGTGACGTGCTACCATTGGTTCTGCCCAGATTGCAGTTGTCCGCGCTACTTGTTATAGAGCTACTAGAACATGGGATCGTCTTTTACGTGCGAAATATGTATACGGTGCATGGCTCGATGTTGAAACAGGGGCCAACCTCGACTGACGATACCAAGGAGACTTGGGCACGATTATACGAGCTATGTCAGCTTGTTGCATCCAAGCTAAATTGGAGCATGGTTGATCTTCTAGAAGGATCGTCAGGTTTGTCGGAAGAGCAATTAACTCGACTGAAGGCGGACGCGCCACATAGTGGGGATGTTGTTGATCTTTCGAAACCTCGAAGTTCGGCTAAAGTAACTCCTCCGGAAGACAGGACGCAGAAGTTTTACATAACATTGGTATTATTCCTTCGATCAGTTTATTTTTATGGGCGGTACACAAATGCTTTGGAAAGTGACGAGTATACGATGCCAGGCTGCGTATTGGTCGACTATCGGGAGCCAATTCTACAACCACCGAAGAAGAAAAAACTCGAAAAGCCGCCCGGCCAACTGTCAGCTAGTAAACTATTGCCTGCAGACGTGGCTATCCCGCTCATCGCGCATTTTCAAATCGCTGTAAGATGCTGGACTACGCTAACTATTGCGTATAAGGCAGATTTCGATCGAATCTCGAAGCTCCTTGGACTGACTGAACATTGGAATTATTTTCTGAACATGTTCTTCATTGATGCTGCTGTTTATCAGAACCGTCTAGATGAAGCACTTCAGCTGGGTTGTAAGCTTCTTGGCGAATTGGCGACCAGCTCAGATTGGATCAGTAGAGTAAAGGCAAATCTTCAGATGGCAAGCTGTCTTTTTGCTACTGGTGATAGAGAGACGGCTTTTACGAGGCTAACCGAAACTTTGACTCTATTCGCTTCCCAGTCGGATGATGGCAAAGATCGGGCAAGCAGCTCAACGACGAAAACGACGTCTGCGACGACTTCTGAAACGAGTCAAAGCCTGTGTTTCGTTGTATGCACTCGCGATGAGGTTCTTCGCTTTTTCGTCAAAATACTAATGACAATTCTGAAAGAACGTGTTGGGTCAGACCAAAGAGATGATTCGGCGCTAGGCAGCCTCATTGTACTTAGCCAGGCAGAGTGGCCGAAGCATGAAGCCCAACTACTTCAGCTAATTGCAAATATTCGCCGTTTAAAGTCATTTAGCTACCCGCTCTTTATGAACTATGTCGTCGTGCCCGACATCCTTGAAGAATTCGCGTTTCTCGCATCAGACCATCAACAGGAACTGCAGCTAGACCTTCTGCCAGCAACGCAGGGCGTCGGGTCGAGGTCGCGTACGGTGACTCGAGGCGTCAACAAAGGCGCCAAGGAAGAACTCCGTGCGGCTATGGAGAAACAGATGGGCCGAGCTAATGAAGATGTGAACCAGTTGATCATTGCATTTCTGCTTAATGAACGACACTTAGTGTCTCCGAAGGGTCGATGATAACAGAAAAATTAGCAGATAGCGGTCAGTAAAAAACATGCTCGATGTGGCCGATGTTCATATGAATGAATAGATCCCAATTCATCCGTTGTATATACATATACGAACCAAGATAGTATTTTGTTTGACTAATTTCTTTTGTAAATAAAATTTGTTGCAAGATAAAACGTACCTAGTGTTTCGTGGGTATATGAAGATTGTACACTATACAATGTTATTTTGCTGAAGTGATAAGAGGATATTTTGAATTATGTGAGCGTGATGAATAATGAAGTTCATATCCGCCAGATTTGTTAGGTAAATCAACCAACTCGTGGACAAAGATAGCCCAACTAGCTTTGAATACCATGGATCACTAGGCTGAATTCAGATTACGAACTGACTATAGACTTAGCTATGTTCAAATATTTGTACATTTGTTACATAATCGATTAATAGCCATATATTTGACATGTAACTTAACCTTTTAGGCTAAAATATCTGCTAGGCTATCATAGTAACTTTAGCTGCCTTCGAACTCTAAAAATTATTACTACCTTTTTGCATGTAAAATAGTGGTATCTTGAGAAGAATCATTATCAATAAAAAACTGGATAACATCAAGGTGTAAAATTAGTACAAAATATTATCTAGATATTGACGGGACTTTCGATTTTTTCGGCGCTAAGCTTTTTTCTTATAATGATCTAATAGAAGCTCCCATAGAACAAAAGCAATCAACCACATATTCTTTTTACAAGTTTATCGGTGTTAATGTATTAATGAGTTTCTTTAAAACCGACTTAGCATTATAGCGATACCTAGCATTGTACTTTACGGCAGCTGATCTTATAAAATAACTACGTATTGACAGGTCCTTTTGGTTGTGAATCTTGTGTAGGCCAACCAACCCTAACGCCAATTCCAAATTAATACTACGTTCAATATTTTTCGTTTAGTGGCGAATACAAGAAAGCTGACGGTACAGCAAAATAATTTGAGCATTCTAGTAGTTGTACAGACCCTCCTCCTTTGTTTAAAGGAACTATTTAGCCGGAAGTGTTATATATGCTTTTATTCTGAGAGCATGTATAACTAGCCAAAGAGGTTTGCAAGCGCAGATTCATTAAACAGAACAATAATGCTTTATACTGACCCAAGTGAAGAATACTTCGTCAGCCACAACTAATTAGTGTCATTATTAGGAAACGGCAGCAACTTGGCGTCAGAAGTCAGCCTTTACTCAAACACGGTTCATCCACCATTGCCTGTCGAGAGATAAATTGCGGCAGAATTCGGTATATGGATTGTATAGTGGTGTTTCGTCAAGCTAATATGCTAGAGTCCTCACTGAAACCGCTGGCTGCGCTTACTGACTGGAAAACCGTTAGCTCTTGAGCCCTTAATATACACAGAGACTAAAATATTGGCTTACATTATTTTTGTGTCAGTTTGTTGCATATCGTTTCTGATGACGTTTCTGCCGGACCATAAATTACCATCGTTAAGCAGGAACAAGTTACTCCGTGTACGATTATTTTTGATCATTCCCATGTGTTGGGCCCTTTAGGAGATTTCCGAACGACTTAACATAACAAATGAGCAGGTTGAGTAGTATCTGCTTCGTATTTATCATTAAAAATGATAAACACTTTTACCTTTTCGTCTCTCTTTGAAACTATATGCTATTTGTTTAGTATGTACCCAACTTTAAATCACTTTTCCTTATTTATAAAGAGGAACATCTACTATGTAAACCAGTACTTCCACAATTACGCTAAGTGTACTCCCGTGAACTTCCTGAGTTTCCGTTCGACCACGAAAACAATATATTAACTGGATCGATATCGCATCAACCTAACCGCGCAAAAGGCGAAGTACGTAGAACAACGCGTGTATTTTTTCTTGTTTCTTTCTACTAAATTAAAGCGAAAAGTCTTATTCAAACCGTGGTGTACTTTAATGATAGCGTTGTTGTTACAGTTCTTTTACAATTGGTCGACGCAGTTGCTTGTGTACTATGAGCTCCTGGTGTGGCTTTCCTAGGTGTATTAAAAAAATGCTATGAGGTGGTAGTACTGATAGCTCGACAAAAATTACGACAAGAAGGCCTTATTCAAGAATCAACTGTCCTTATTGATCTGGACGTTTTCGGTCTATTCGTTTTGTATGCGGCGACAACATCGAATAGATTGAGCAGAAAAATGTATTTAGTTTTTCATAGTTTATATTAAAAAAACAAATAGAATGTATTTTAACAGAGCCGACTATGAGCACAAAACTTCTTAACAAATTTAGTTATAACTAATCTATGTTGACCCATACCTTTCAAATTCCAGTGTGGTTAGACAACATTGATCGAACATTGATTGAACAATGTATCCTGACTTGATTGACTTGCCATAGGAATTGTGTGGTCTAAATACGATTTCGTTTGGTCACCAGACAGACCTAGGACTTAACGTAATGACGAATAAGGTAAGCGCCATCTATTAGTGGCAAAATTAACAATCTATCTTCACGCAGAGATGGCTAGTCGTTGTGTCAATATTTAAGTACTATAATAATCAATACGGAATCGATAAATGTCAACACACCTAATAGTGAGCACGAAAAAATGCGTCACTTTTCTAATGGGAGAATCTTATTAAAATGCATTTTCGACCTTGCTCTGGTATCGAGCGTTTTAAATGCATTCCGTATTGGCTAAATATTTTATAGATGCGTTTGAAAGTAATCTAGGTCATGATACTTTATGTAGGGCATAACCAAGAAATTACAAGAAGTGTACTGTCATGTTTATCCACAAAGATGCGAGACAGGCGATTCTATTTGCATGCGTCTTTCGGATTCTAACCAGAGACCGATGGTTGCTAGTCAACTGCGTAATCCTTCGCAAGTATGATGCTGCATCTGCAAACCGAAGCAGGAAACAAATGACACTTGGCCACAGATTGCTTCCTGTCCAGTAAATAAGTTTTCTTCTTTATCTTGTGAAACTTTCGGTTAGTTTCCAATTTTGGTTGCCATACTCGTTACAGCTGTATTTCACACGACGTCGGATTTAGTGAGCAATTGAAAATAAACTATTTGTTTTTCTAGTCTGTAATCTTTATTTTCACAATAGTCGGGCGACGTGTCAACGAATACTGTAAATTTTCTACAGCAAAAGGGCTTCGTAATAACATCGGTATTCGTGGAGATCCATGATTCACCGGTGGCGAATTTGTTGTTCCCATTCCCGTTTTTTTAGACGCAGTTTCTGATACAGTGAAGTGGCCAATGGCACCGGCTACATTGTACCAACGGGAAAACGCTTCACTTAGCTACATCATTTGTTTTGAATTTTGCGCTACGCTTGTGAGTAGTACGAGTTGAACTCTAGTATGGATCTATCACAATATATATATAACAACGAATGTATAACATAGAGTGTGTATTAAGTTATTTGCATGTGACTAGCGTAGAGCGTGTATTGGGCCTCTTATTTGCCCTTTTCTAGATAGGCACCCTTCGTTTAAATGCCTGTAGGTTGTTCTCTATAAAGTGTTGACTAGGCACGTGTGGTACGAAAAAAACAGGTATTTCAGTTTGTTTAGTAAATGAGATTTTCGTAAAATTAGACAAATACCTTAATACTGATGTAATAATAATAAAAGCCTTAAATATCTTTAAAAAGGCATTATAGTTGAAAATAGCACCAAACTGAACTCGAAACATTTTTTTGTTTCTTAGTCTGCGTTAATCAGTCGTAGCAAATAGAAAGTCACTATATATATCTGACTTAATAGATAGCATTTGGCAAAAGAGGCCAAGTGATTGTCAATCACAACACTTTACTTAAATTAATTACGTACTTTAATTTTACGTGTTAAATGTTTTTTCTAACAGAAGTGATCCCCTGCTATCCACATCGTTCATTTCAATTATATTTATGCAACCCTATTTATGTTGTTGTGCCATTAAGTCATAATAATATTACGTTAAGAAGGTATTTTCTTCTTCACGGGACAGGTAGGCGAAGTTACTGTAATTTCAGTTATCTTCGTGATGGCGTAGTAGTTGCTTATTCAACTTAACGACGCTTTGTGCGCTGGTTTAGAACCGAAACTACCATTCGTTTTGTACTGGGAGCGACATCGGCCAAACAATACTCAGCGGCAATAGCTGACGTAAAACTCGGAACATTCTTTATTTACTATAATTTCAGCCATTTTTCTGTCTACTTATGGGCGTATACTACTTTTTGCGTCGACTATGCCAAGTTTTTTCAAAGATATCTATTATTACAGCTGTCCTATCCATGACACCTCTATGACGACGATTTTGACAATGGCGTATATGGCCGTAGATCAGCTAAGCCTGCCTCCCCTCTCTGTCTGCCTGCGACGTTTAGTGACGCTCTTCGCGTATCTACTGCATAAATTCATTTTTGGCGCTACAGCCATCGCCGCAGAGAACAGCATCGGCAGCGGTAGCATTAGAAAGCAGGTGAGCAGTACGGCCTGTTTTCGTTTTCCTTCTCACCATCCCTCCCCCTCAGGTACGCGCTTGTCGCAGGATCAGAACCGATCGTCCCGCCGCCGGTCAACTCTCCCTGAGCGGACTGCACTGCAGAGACGGGACAATCATGATTGTTGCTGCTATTTACACAAACAGACGCAGCGGCCGGCAGCCACAAGCTATAATGTCCGTTCGAAATCCCCTGTCCGAGGAACACTGCCGCTGTGGGCTTCGCTCCGTCTCATAGAGTGTAGTACAGCTGTTGATTAAGCGACGTTGTCGTCATCCTGTGTTGTTCATGTTGTTAGCTTATTTGGAAGCGCCTTACCGTGATACCGTAAAGTGTCTGTACAGTTGTAGGCGGAGGTTAAGCGTCGACGGAACGGGACAGTTGGACTCGCCCATCTATTATAACCACTGCTGATTCTGTTGGTATCACAAAGGTATTGCCACGCTTCAACTTTACGAGGGTGTATTAGTTGGGGGGACGAAAAGGATAGCTTTTTGTGTGAGTGAGTGGGTGCGGTGAAGAAGGGGACAGATACATCAGGGCCAAAAGAGAAAAAGGTAGTGCTTCTGAAACTGTTCCAACGAACTCACCTGTTCCCGCCTTTCATCCGGTTCTCCGCTGACTCCGTGGGACTGTTAGGATTTCTGGGGAATCCGGGTAAGTAGGAGATTTTCAAGTAAATTTCGGGCAAGATATCAGATTGCGTGCTCCAAAAGTGATGAATAAATTAGGTGTGGTAGTTGCAAAGTGAACCTTTTTATGGAAAATATGCTTGTACAAGAGAGTCATGACGGAGTTGTGCTCTTTATGTAATGAAGCCCTAATAGGTTCAGATGTATAAAAGTGTGGAGATATTAAATTAGAGGTGTCGGCGTTATTATCAATGCTATACGTTGTATGGTCATTAGTATGAGCAAATATATAGTAAATGCTGGTTAATATACAATTTCTTTTGTTATCTAAAGACATTTGTAAAAAAGATAGCCTCTTTGATCAAAATGTACGTACAGGTATGCATGTGAAAAAAGTCGCGCCAGTTCAAAGATTAACTGCGAAAAAAAGATTAAAATCTCATGCAGCTCGACTCAAGCCTGTTTCTCTACCGCTTATAGGTGGTATTTAATTGCAAAGGAGCTGAGTGACTGGTTCAGCGGTGCAATGCGATCGATCTCATCTGATCTCACTGCGGTCCTAGCTGTAACGGAAGGACGTGCTCTGTGTAACCAGTCCGCTTACTCACCTCGCCAACTAGACCCATGTATACGAAACACGAAGTCATGTATATTATCGGAGTTCACTTGATAAGCAGGCCACCTTTCGTTATAACGAAATACCAGCGCTTAATTATACACAGCCAGTTTGTTCGCCCTTTCCTTACAATAGCGCAGCAAATAACGTGTTTGCTTGCTAAAAGTAGGGACACGTGGTAGTTTAGGTCCGAGTTCAGGTGTAGGGATGCCGCGCTTCGTGCTGGGAGCCAATCCTCTGGAATGAAAGATAACAGCTCAACTACCGGACGTAGAACACGTAAAAAATTTAGTTCATCTAATCGTTATGTTCGACCGTTGAAGCCCGCATTAGCCACTGAACTGGTCTGGCTTATCTGTGAACCTCATGTGATGCCGAAACTTCCGCTCAAACCAAAACAGCTCCTTAGTTCGCCGGGCTGTCTAAGCAGCTCAGGCTATTTAGCGAAAAACCAGTCTGTGTCTGCAATGAAGTTACGGCGAAATGAATGTTAGAAGTAGAATCAAGGACACCGTTTGCGGTTGAACCTAAACGAAGGATTAGATTTATCGGTAAATCGGCTGCCGCGAACTGACATCATTAACAACCATACGTCAAACAGAGCATCTATACTTATGGACCTATAGATAATCAGTTCGATTGCAACATATAGTGGGCACGAAAAAAACACATCTATCTGGTTGCTATGCCACTGAGCTAGCAACAATAGCGGCAATAGAGCCATCATCGTTTGGTTTGCCGGTTCGCCGGTCAGCGCTTATCACCCGTTTCCTAACAACGTAGCCAAATGCCGGTGTTACACACATACCGCACTTTACAACTTGAAGCAGAAGCAAACGGCATAGGTCTGGTCCGAAAGCTGTGAGAAATACCTCTGCTAGAACTAATAGAGAAATATAGCAGTTTCAGAATATAGTGTAGGCATTTAGGGGTCGGTGAGGGCGGGTGGTACGCGGTATCGGGTAGTTAACATCGCTAAAGCAAGGCCGCAAGGTCCGCTAGGTTCCTTTTAGTCGGTGCGGGACATTGCTGGTTTAGAGTGACAAAGAAACGAAAAAAAAAATCACAGAGACTACAAAAAAGCGGATATTCCCAATGGCCTAGGATGATTATTTGCTAGACATAGATTAAATATAAACTCGAGATTGGTAAGTAGCACTTGTTCTGAGTGCGTTTTATAGATGCTTTGTTGGCGATTCAAACATACAGCGTTACGAAGACAACGTGATATTTAGAGGATATGTAGCGGAGATGATCAAATATACAATCAAGATATGGAAGAAACAGAAAAAGCTGAATGATGATTTCTGTTTCAATGGTGGCCACGTACTGGATTTAGCTATGCTGACAAAAAAAAAAAAAACTAGAAAAAGTCACTGCTTTGCTAATACCTAAGAACATCTTTATACACACTACGAAAGCGGGACATATAGAACAAACATGAACCAAATATCCCCTACTTTAGAACAAATACAAAATAAACAATGAACGTATCATCCCATTAGCAAAGAAGAATTTTGATGTTTTGTTAGTTAGCACCTTCGTTGACGGTTGTCCGTTCTGCATGCTTCGCCCTTCGCGCGAATCTTCCAAAGAAAGGGTGTATTTGATCGAAGCACTAACATATGTCGATATAATGAGATCATTTTAGCAATATAGCCTTGTTCGCGATAGCGTTTTGGCCTCTGTTATCATGAATCTAACAAGCAGAGCGAATACATACTTGTTGTTCTTATATCGGTGTGGCCTTCCCAAATATGACCTTTGTCAATTCTTCCATAGGCCAACAACTCTTACTGGACGTCGCTGTGCTGATGGCAACGACGGCGGCAGGGCGGCGAAAGCTGCTTACCTTTAGATTCGCTTAGCTGGCCGTCGACAGTTCGACCCACCATTTGATCCCGATGGACGAGTATGCGTAAATGAAGTGGACAGGTAAAACGTCGGTCCGCGGGCCATATCATACCGTAGCGGCGTACCGGCCTCAAGACGAATTATTTTCTCCTTGTTTCTATCTTTATGTTGTTAAAACGCCGAGTCTGTTACCGCCGACGACAAGTCGCAAAATTTTTTGAAAAACTATTACGGACGGTCGTGTTGAGAGTAAAGGAGCTCTGAAATTTGGAAAGTTAGAATTCGTAGCGGATAAATAGACGAGAGAGCTGTCACAAGTAGAAATAAAATCTGAAAATTGGCCGGACAATTCCGCGTTACGGTGTATAAATATATTTTAAATGTATAGTGAATAAAATACGAATACTCTTTGTAAAAAACGCAAAAAAAGAAAATTATTTTACATACTCTTTTCTAATGAAGCAATCTCTGAGATGATCTTTTTGCCGTTTTTTTAATTAGGCTTTGGTGAGTAGTGACAACGTAAATGCTGATCACTTTCACGGTCAAAAAATTCTGATTTTAGCTTATTCGTGTAAACGCATTACCTAGGTAATCTTTTATGTGCATTCGCTAGAATGTACGTGCACTAACAAAACATAGGAAGGATAAGACGTGATATCTGGCTTCACAGGTCTATCCCGAGAAATCTCCTTTGAAATCCTTCGATTCCAATATAATTTCAGCTAAGTTTTGGAAAGGGGGTCCAGGTCCATCCCCGTAGGGAGTGAAAATAAGATGCAAAATACTGCGTCGCGAAGACATAGTAGTAGAAAACTGTGGTGCTCAAGAGCATGTTCCAATGCGGTTGTGAAACCTACAATAAATCAATTCACCCAATTGAGAACACTGGAATGAACAGGCATGTTCCCAGCGATGTTTCGCATGTGTTAGATTCTTGCAGTGTTGTTTGACAGGTTTGTTGGTTCATGACGTCGTTTGCTATAGCGCAGACGAGCTCGGCAGCACTGGCCTCTAGAAGCGACTTTTCCGGGTATCGCCTTACAAAGAAGACCTACCTCTAACGTAGCCATGAAATAGCTACGTTCCAGAAGAGATATACAATGAAGTGCATTGGACTGAATATTTTCAAAGACCTGTTCCAGTGGCTCTCAGTTGACAAAAAACAGGATATTTTTACTAATAAGGACCACCAATATGTCCCGGCTGCTCTAGATTTCTTTTTTATATCAAGTAAAGCTAAGTCGTATGATTTAGCTACCCATGTGTATCTACTAGTGTAGAATAAACGAATGTTGTACAAACTATCATCACTGTAGGTCGTTAAGTTTGAATCAGAGTTTTGTAAACTTTAAGAGGGTAAATAAAACCGAATAAATAACCTTATTAACTAAATAGGGTGGCTGATAGTAGCACGTTATACATAATTTAGGCAACGTATTTTTGACGCATCATACAATTCTGAGAAAAACATATGTAGAATCGTACGGATAAAAAGGAATGACTTAAACGTTGTTACATAAGTTCGCTTATGAATGCCACTTTCCTAACTCGTGAGGACCGCCGCTTGATTCGTGATCATTCAGCGTTATTCGAAATTCGAAAGATATAGAAAAAAAAAAATAATCTGCAAGAGACTGTCTAAATGATTCGAGGAAATCGTCTTTCAGGTTGACCTGAGTTCGATAAGATAACAACTCAATGAGCGGAGCCTCTCCATACTAATCTGTCTATTGACGTTACGCGAAAAGCTGCTGATGGCGCCTTATCAGTTGATATATTACTGTTGACGATATTAGCACCTCTTTATATGTCTGATAGGAAAACGTTTTAGTTTTCTTACTAGTTGCCATACCAATTAACTCGAACTCGTGACAAACGCAAAAGGCAAAAAAAATTGAATTAAAATAAATGTAATGTATCGCAAGTGGCTGTCAGAAGGCAGACAGACAGATTCAAACATTATAATAATAGTTGGGCATCAAATACACAACTACTTTACCGCGCCAAAGCTGCAGATAAATGAGATCATGTGTCGTCAAAAACGGATGTTTTGATCGGAAACACCTTTTCTTTTATGATAATGTAAACTAGATATTAATTGATTGGTAATAAAGATGATAATTACGTTATCTGTGTTAAATGGCAGGTAAACAATGTTACACATTTACTGTTGATCATATATTTCCCAGAGTTCAAGTAATTTAACGCTCACAAATTTATTTTACCAGAAAATCCTATGGGTAATTATCATCATGGTTAAAAGAAAAATAATTAAGTAGGCTATTCAACAATACATCTAGAGACTAAATACTTGTGACTGGCCGTCCGGAATGATACTAGAAGCACATCTTCAAATCTATGAAACAGCGTCGCTATATAGGACGCAATATCTAGTCATAAACATCTTTTAGAATTCTATTCTACAGTCAAATGTAATACATTAAATTTAACTATGTTTTGTGTCTCATATAAAGCAAGAAGGATTATTCTATGCATATCGCACAATTAGCTCTGTTAATGGATTATTAAGGCTTTTCGATCTTTATTAACAGAAACAGGAAGGTGTCATCGGGAGTGACGCATGATCCACTGATGTTGTTAAAAAGCAGAATGGTGTATGAACTATGTGTCAGGATCGGGGATTGGATACATCTACTTTGGTGCTGGGGGTCAACTGTATGATGTAAAAAGGCGATTTCGGACGCGAAACCTGAAGCACAGATCGAAGACAACGTCGTCTATACGACTGAAATTACTATGGTTTTCCCTGCAAACAGATATAAACTAATTTGAAACGTTTTTTCCACGTTTTTATTTTGTCTATTTATATTTAGCTTTCATGGCTATCAAAACAGCTCCTTCGAGTATATTTGCCTTGAGCAAGATACTTGCACATAATCTTGCTAAACAAAAACGTAACTTTATGAGAATTAGGACGAGCAACACGTAAAGCCTTTTGGATATTCAAATACAACGTAGTTGTGGCTGAACACAACATGTTACAATTCGTCTTATCAGAGGAATGTATCCGTCAAAATTTATTCATTCGATGTATCGCTTTATTTAGAAGTATACTTGCAGCTAATTTAGCTTCCGCTGAATTAGCGCAAAAAAATACGGTTGTCTCAACTTATCACCGCGTTCATGTTTAATCTACATTTGCTGGTTTCGTATTGCCTCTGAGGCAACATCACGGATGAGATCGAATTTAGTGCATGACATGCTGGAGAAAAAAAACTGAACGAATGATCTTCGCAGGAAACTAAAGAAGCTTAGCTGAACGTACGACTTCGAACGCCGATATCATAGACACAAATTATCAGAAACAAATGACGGTAATCTGGTTGGCCAATAATAGACAATAAACTCTGTAGGCTGCTCTTACACGGAAAAGATTTTGGATGAGGAGTAATGAGAAATCTGGGAGAATTTGTTTATGTAGTATGGGCACTGTGGTATGAACGTGGTTCTTTTTCTGTGAGTGTACAATTATGCGCTTCGCATTTAATGGCTGATCGGCAAGCGTTTCGTAATGCTTGACTATAACGATGCGCGAGGTAAACAGCAGACTTGGGAAGTCTGGTATCTAAAGGAGATATTCGACTACGTGAGGGAAGGATGCAACTCATTCAGTACTTGAGAAGACCAATTCATCATCTGATATCTCGTGTAGAAATATCTGGCGCCAAGAAAAGCCTCTTAAAATCGCTTTGCGGCACTTAGCGACGTTCTATTTGTGACGCGTGACTGCAGTGAACCAACACCCAAGTTCTTTTTATACTGAACAATAATTCTCGATTTCAACTAGTATGAAAGGTTTAAACCGACGGATATAACTGATTCGTTATCTTCTATATCACTGTTTACCTCGTAGCTATTATCGATATTGAATTAATAGTAATGTTATCGCTGTTTCCCTTTCCGCTAGTGGTTAGCTTTTATGGACTATTGCGTCTATGGCGATATATGGTAGGTACTGCCTACCCTATGGTCGAGCCTGATAACCGTAATCTTTATTGCATCTAGACACGATACCGTCTACTCAAACATCGACAGTGACAATTCAACGTCGACAATAAAGAGCACAAGGCATAACCTTTCTGCGATAGCTAATAGAAAATAAAATGTAAAAAAGACAATGAGTTAGTATACGTTGCATTATTATGATATGGTACAAAGTTATTACACCAATGTGTATACGTATTCATGCAAAAATGTCAGTCATAATAATCTGACTGTTAGAACGGGATGCCCCCAACAAAAAAATTGATCTATTATCGTCTAGATTAAGTGGGCCAGGTAATAGGAAAATGCATGTAAGATAAGGGAAAAATCACGGGACAAAGTCAACACTGTATTAACTACCGCGCGATATATCTATTCGTTTAGTGTTTTGTAAAACACGACTGTCACGATACGCCGTTGGGAAAAGGACGGAGGCTAATTTTATCAGCCGAAGGTCGCTTGTATAATAAACACATTAGAAAACTACTATTGTTTCTGCCACGTGGGCCAACCCCGATTCTGGCTTTCTCATTGTGTTAGACAGGATACAAGAAGATTCTGTTGGCGCCGAATGGAGTCACCACTCGAAGGATGACGAGTCCGTTTTCTCATTACGGTGAAGAACATAAAAAAAGAACGGGTTCATTGAACCAGTTTGTCCTTCTTCGCGCAAAGTCTGATGCAACTATTGGATTATCAGTCTAATAGTGCAGTAAATGGGAATATAAGCCTGGTACCTTTGACACATACACACATAAACTTCCAAACAGTTAAACACACCGGGACACAGATACATCAAGATACGAAAACATGCCTGGTCTTAATTCGCAAAGGTTTCTTACATGTCTGGTTGACGATTTAATTAATCTAGTCAGTAGCTAATTCGAGAAATTGAGATTTTTTAACTCCCCTAATTAGCTTAATTGTATTAAATTTATAACTTGTAATGTATATGTTATGGTTTAGCTGTTGCTAGTTCAGCGGGAGAATGCGAATTACAAGGTCTCGGACATTCTCAAACTCCAGCTGTGTATCCAAGTATGCATAAAGGCGATAGAAATGGCTGTATCAATATTCCTGAATCAAGGTTGACCTTGAGATTATTGCTTGGATAGTAGTAAACAGGCTGCAAAGAGCTAATCAGTAAACATCATTCATATATCATCGGTAAAGTAATTAATATTAAGAAAAATAATATGGGAGATTCATTACTAAATGAACAGTGCTAATATGTAATAGTAATGAAGTTACTCGTAAGATAGCAACTATTGTGTACAGAACTTCAAACATTTAGACAAGCTAGTTCTAATTCGTCTGATAGCTTCATCAATGAACTGATTTTGTGGCTTAACCCAAATCAGGCTGGTCGGAAGTCGGCGAGGTAAATAATCTTTATCGGAGAAATCCATTATAACAGAAATATACTGTAGGGAGAGGTTTATTTGCTGTTGAAAGTTTTTCTTTGAAAGCGCATAATCAGCAAGTTAATTTGTTAATATTTGGAAAGGTTAGCCCTTCATGGTCGTTTTATGAGGCACATTTTAAAGAAGGGCAAGCTCGAATAAGCATAGCTGAACAAGGGCAGTTAAGAAATGTTTTGATAAAAACGATTTCTACTAAAAAATATTTTAACAATAGATCCTAAAGGTTAATGGCGTGTTCCTTCGCTAGTACACGGTGGATATTTTACAAATGACACAATCGTGGGGTACTAATTAGGGTCCGATGTTTTCGACCAGTAACCTTTCGTGGAAGCTTTGCCTCTTATTTAATTAATTAATAAAGAAACAGTAAAACTCTACAAAAAAGTCTTGACGGCGGCGCATTTTGTTTAGAATTCCTAATAGACATTTTACTTCCTCTTTACAAAATAAAATTTTCTCAATTCACCATGTCCTCTTCTTCGCGTATTTCCCTTGAAACGTTTTTAGAGTAAACAGCTAACAACATGTCTCACAAGAAGTTGGATTGAAAATGCCGAGTCCTGTGTAACTTTTCGCGACGTTACGTCTTTTTGTGAGCCTTTTATCTACCATACACGAGTTTATATACGTCTCTCAAAAATACGAATGCACCGAAAGGTGACTGCTCAATGACTGATTCAGTTCTATTTAAAAGTAGCTGAGATTCGTTTGCGATAGAGCAAGCTGGTGGAAATAACCCTTTGTGAGGATTTAGGTACATTTTGAGAGACATACAAACGATACAAAGAAAGGATCGCTTTGTTTACGAACAAATTATGTTATAAGCCCAAAGATGCATAGAAATCACCCGTTGAACAGATCAGCAACAGTTTCTTACCAGATTGTGTAATATGTGATGCTTTCTGCAAATAGTGAGCGTTAATCATGTGTATGAGGACGATCAAGTCCATTAAATCTTCAATTCTTGTGTAACTAACCTAGTGTTTAATATAGCTGATTAGATTCAATAGACATGTGTACGTTGCTCATAAATCGCTACTACCAGATAGGTATTTAAAAGTTGTAATAAAACAGACTGAAAAAACATTCGCACTTTACAATTCCTCGTAGCTACGCTAGTCTCTCCAAAACACTTAACCCTGATCTGTATGTCGTGTCTGGTTCTATATTTTTAGTTCATACAACGATTGGAGTAAGCAGGTCAGAGCGCGAGCAACAAGTAGGCCTCTCAGACACGATTACGGTGCCGTAGCTGCGATTCGAGCCTTGGTGTCATTGACTACGATTTCCACTCCTGTGGGCAACTCTGGGGTGAGCAGCGCGGCTTTCACTAACGATTGGGGAGCAGATTTGCGTGAGGAGTTGCGCAATGTTTCAGCACTGCCGGTAAAAGCAATAGCAAGTCAAAGAAAAACAACACGACGAAGAAATCTCCTCCAGGTTAACAATAAGGATCGGTTCACATAAAGGGTAATTTTTTTTTTTTCGTTAATCTCTATTGATGTTTACTTACCGAATGTAACTAAGACATGCATGGAGTATAAACACTTAAGTGGACAACCTGGATAGATTAATGAGGTTTTATAGGTTCATAAACGAAGGATTGATCAAATCTACTTTTTCTAATAGCTATAAAAAATTATTTAATTTTTTATATCTAGAATTTCGAAGGGAACTAATGGGGGCTAATTTGTAGCAACTGTTGTTGGAATATCTTATTATACAAACACTCCATCTGTGGTATTTATGTAATGTGCTCAAGTTAACAAGAAAATCAATAAAAAAAAAGTTCAGTATTAATTAAACGCCAAAGTTCGATAATTCGCAGGAAAGTTATCAGCGGTCTTAGATGTGATATAATATTCAAAGGAACTGAGTACTAAGAACGCTCCCTTCGTGGAAGTGGAGTTATTCTGTTGCCGCAGATATTAAACGGCAGATCAAACATTTGATATAAGACAGTCAGGCAAGTACGATCTTTGTTTGCCTGTACGCTATGCAGATACGTCCAGTCGGACATTGTGCGTCAACGATCAACACATAATTTATTGAACGCCCTTTGCGAATATTTGTCGTAATAACTGTTTTATTAAATGTATTATCAGATTGTGCCTTAAACAGCCAACCAACCTCTCTGGATTTCTGCCGTCGTTAATTTGTAGCAAATGCTTCTACTTACTTAAAAAAAGAAATCAGTTACTCCCCAGTAACTGTTTTTTTTTAACCAAATAATTAATTTTTGTTTGCTTGCAAGGTTCCGTTATATTTCTATGGAACGCCCGAATTAGTGGCATCATATGACTCTGCAACGCGTTACAAGTTATCTGTGAATAATTACTGGAGATTGATGAATCTTCACTTTAAAGTTTAATATTGTCATAGCATTTTTCCATTAAGCAGCAAATGCTGTGTGGGTACGCATCTCTTGAAACAACAATGGTGCGTAGAATAATCATCAATAAAGGCAATATTGAAGGAATTGCTATATTATTATTTTTTCTAGCAACGCATCAATCGAATTGCGCCCAAAATAATCACCCATCGTCGACCGCCATTTAAGCAAGAATAAGCACATAATTTTACACGTTGTGTGCCTATTGTATATTCGGCCACTAGTAGCGGCGCGCTCTTCTCAATTTACTTCATTTCGTCGGTCTATCCTTTTGTTACGTCGTGGCCATTTATTCTGTTCATCAGGCGGAATTCGGTGCGCTTGCCCTTTGCCAAGTCCAGATAACTACGAGCATATTAGCGCTCTGTGATGACTGTCGCGTCAGTAGCACGAATCAATGGGAAAGGGAAAGATCTGTCATAGTTAGAAGACTCTTTCCGCTCAAACCTGGATTGTAGTCGCGGTACGCACGTTGATCAGATCCGCATGTTGTCAGAACAACGTTGGACCAAGACAGGTTGTAGGTGACTGACGGCGGTGGCGTGTATCGAAGTGTATTTAGTCCCTACAGCCAAAGTATATCATTGATTCGCTTGCTGCTGCTGCCGTATGTTGTTGTCGTTGTGTTCAAACAAAAGGCGGTCGTATTGGTTGAATGCATGTGTAGGTTGTCGATGAACTGACGGGAGAAAGCGAAGTACGTTACCCCAACACATTTGATAAAGGCGAAGTATGAGTTGATGTAACTTCGCGCGTTGATCTCGTTGAATCCTCCCGTCTTGTCAATCAGTGTCTGTTGTTGTTGTCGACTAGTCGCATTGAATACAGTCTCTCTGCAAGGCTCATTACATATGTGCGTATAGATTTCTACTATCCTCTGTGTTCTGCACTATAGCTCTATGGATAATTAGTAGAAATAGTTTAGTTTGACGAAAACACGGAGCTAGTTATCAGGCTCATCATAGATAAGAAGCCTTTTTTGTGCATAGATTTCTGGCATAGTGTCAGGAGGGTATTAAAGCCCCCTTTTTTCTTTGAGGCCAAAGACCACGCTGTCAGGACGTTAATCCAGAGCGCGTTTACAAGTGAAAAGTGAGGTGAAAATCACGCAGAGGAATCATGAACGGAGGAAACGACTATGACCACAATGTAAGTTTCTTTTTCTGACAGAAACTGTTAAGAGCTACAGACAAATCATTACAGCCTGGCTATCTACGAAATGCATTGTATATGCCAGAAGATACGTCGTTATATGTCAGTATTTAGTAAAATAGAACCAAATGCAGGACACTGCAAGTAAGACATGACTAGTACAATGAAAAAATTGTATCGACCTCATGATATCGCTTTTAATGATATATACTATAATTCTGCGTAAATTGAATGGGTTGTTCGCCTACGTACATGGATGGTCTGCAGATAAAGTATGACGGGTTCTCCTTACTCTAAAGCTTTCATTTAAGAGGGGTGCATAATTACCTTAAATTTATTGGGTCAACTATCTACAAGCTAATTTCGATTGATAAAAACAGCTCAGTCGAGAAGAACTATCTTACATCTATACAACTTATTTCGTTGAATAACGCTCCTTAGTTATTGATGGTGAAGGTGAGAAATACTAAAAACGTGTAGGTTAGTGAATCGTGTTATTCATATGATTACGCCACTTTCTACGCTCTATCCTTTCAAAAGAGGGGTCAGTGTTCTGTTGAGAGTAGCCTTTTGTATGATTGCTCAAGAACATTACTTGAGAACTTCGACTTAACAAACGAGAGATCTGAAAAAGCGGACTTCACAGACTATGCCGCATATAATTCACCGATTCGCTCACCACTGAGCTTGGAGTTCATTGGACTGATAAAGGAAAGCCTTTCGGTTTCATAGTATATCGAAGCACTATCATTGATTAATCATGGTTAAGTTAAACCAAAGCAACATAGTTAAGTCTAAACACCATAACAATACACTTATCGAAAACAAGCATTTATTTGAACCATTGTAACGAACAGAACTGTTTTATCGAAACTCATTTTGTCTTTTTTTTTTCAATATCATCGAACTTGCGAATTTCTTTGCCTAGTTTCTACAGGAGACTTACTTTTCAGAGCAGATAACGTTGAATACTGCTTGTGGGAACTACAGGTATTGCTGAATAAAACTGATTTGCGTACTGCATAAAGTCTGAACAGTACATCACCCGTGTTAAATGTTTCGTCCGATACCTCTGTTAGGTATTTCCTTCGACAACAAGCACAAGCTGGAGTGGGGTTTATCTCAACCTAAAAGCGGACATGACGATTTTTTTCTCCATCTAGTTTAATTCGACAAATTGCGTCATCATATAGGAGTCTGATATCGACTACTTGAGATGGCGCGTAAGCCGAACTCCAAGCTCAGTGGTGAGCTAATCGGTGAATTATATGCGGCATAGTCTGTGAAGTCCGCTTTTTCAGATCTCTCGTTTGTTAAGTCGAAGTTCTCAAGTAGTGTTCTTGAACAATCATACAAAAGGCTACTCTCAACAGAACACTGACCTCTCTTTTGAAAGAATGAGTCTCCCATCTAGACATACGTGTGCAAAAAGTGCATCCATAGTATTGTATTACGACGACTCAGCTCCGTTGTTGGTTCTTGGCCTCGCTTTTCCTATGAGTCCTAAGGGCTGCCGGTGCGAGGCCTGCGTTTGTATCAAGTTTCGTTACCGTTGAGGAAATAAAGGGCGGTATTAGAAAAGGATGCTTGTGGTATAGCTGACAATCGAGCACAGCGCCGTTGCGTGGAATCATAAAGCAGTCTTTTGTCAAGTTTTAATTTCACATTATAGTTAATTAATAGTCTCTCACAGATTTTATCTTAGAGTAGAGATCTTTCGACTACAATTTTTATATCTGAGATATCATTCAGATTATGTAACGGTTTTTGTTGAACCGTAATCTCTAGTGAAAATTTTCACAAAAATATTAATTAACAGGTCTCAAGCTTCACGTTTATAGTATCATGCAATAAATATATATA